TCCCCTGTTTGATACCTGCAGGGACCTCCCCCACACACAGTTAATTTAGGTTTGGTTGTTGTTGTTGTTGTTTTGCTTTGTTATGTTTTTTTGAGACAGGGTCTCTCTAAGTAGTTCTGGCTGTCCTGTAACTCACTATGTAAACCATGCTGGCCTTGAACTGACAGAAGTCCACCTGCTTCTGCCTCCCTGAAGCTGAAATCAAAGGCATGATCCACCATGCCTGGCTAGTTTAGGATTTTATTATCTCTCACATAAACTGTTCCTATTAAACTCCAGGTTCCATCAGAATATTTAGTATGGGGGTGGAGCTGAAGTTTATAAATCAGAGGGAATGGGTCTTTTAAAAGAACATGCAATTATGAATATATAAAATATATATAAATAGCCGGGCGGTGATGGCGCACGCCTTTAATCCCAGTACTCGGGAGGCAGAGGCAGGCGGATCTCTGGGAGTTCGAGGCCAGCCTGGTCAACAAGAGCTAGTTCCGGGACAGGCTCCAAAGCCACAGAGAAACCGTCTCGAAAAACCAAAAAAAAAAAAAAAAAAAAAAGATTACTGTCTCATCCCCCACCGCCGCCTCCCATTTCCCTCCCCCTCCCCCAGTCAAGTCCCCCTCCCTTGTCAGCCCAAAGAGCAATCAGGGTTCTCTGCCCTGTAGGAAGTCCAAGGACCACCCACCTCCATCCAGGTCTAGTAAGGTGAGCATCCAAACTGCCTAGGCTCCCACATAGCCAATACGTGTAATAGGATCAGAAACCCATTGCCATTGTTCTTGAGGTCTCAGTAGTCCTCATTGTCCGCTATGTTCAATGAGACCGGTTTTATCCCAGACTTTTTCAGACACAGGCCAGCTGGCCTTGGTGAGTTCCCGATAGAACATCCCCATTGTCTCAGTGTGTGGGTGAACCCCTCGCGGTCCTAAGTTCCTTGCTTGTGCTCTCTCTCCTTCCTTGTGGAGCTTTTCAACCTCAAGAAGTGTTTGACACTGCTGGCAGACCGCTAAGAAGCAGCCACCCAGACACAGTGCTAACCTTCCTTCCAGTGTTAGGTTAGAAGGTTATATATAGACTCTGGCCTCTCCAAACCGGAGGATAAACCAAAGGGGCATGGCTCTGCAAACAGCATGGAGTGAACACTCCTTGAAACACGAGGGAAAGCAGTCACTTCCTATTTCTCAGTGAGGACAGGACTGGTTATCTCTGAGATTCATGATGACTGGCGAGTATGTGGACACACATCTTGTTTCACCCCAAAGACTGGAAATGGGAACTCAGCCCAAGGGTCCATTGTTTAGGACCCTTTTAGGTCCATTTAGGACTGAATGATTCAGCCTAGATGCCAGCCCAGGCAAGGAATGGAACAGATCCCCAGGCAAGACAAGTTTTTATGATGTGCTTGCTGTTTGTTTTTCTTGAAGCAACTGAGACTTCAGGAGTCAATAGCAAGAAAGACCGAGACTGAAACATAACCTCCAGATGGCTTTCCGAAATGACCCTTTTCTTCACTTCGTGGGAGTATGTGAGAAGCCACAACTAGTACATGCTTTAACTTTGGTATTATTTTCTAATTATCAGGTGACTTAGGAAGTGGATCCAAACAGCAACCTAACGCTGGGGACTCTAGAGGGCGCTATAGTACAACACACAGACTACCGAGCACTGGGCTGAGGCTGGGAGGAAATAGCTCTTCTGTTTAAAAAGTATTATCTCAAGACCAGACTTAAGGAAAAGAAAATGAACCCTAAACTCCTAGGCATGATATATGAACATGATACCAGGTGCTGGCATCTTCCACCTTTAAAGCAATTGTAGCCAGGCATACGGTTCCATAGGCTCATCCTTCTGGCTGGTAAGCCTATCTCTTCTCCCAGGCCTGAGCCCTTTTGTGTAGTCCCATTACCCACCCCTGCTTCTACGATAGTCAGGCGTACTCTGGAATAACTTTGAATGTTCGTGCATCTACCGCTGTGAGCTTCAGGAGGGCACAGCGAGGCTCTATTTTTCCATTTATTTTCTAAGCACTGGGCACATGACAAGAATCTTTCTGAATATGAGCATTAATGTCCAAGAAGCAAAAAGGTGAGGTGAGAGGTTTTGGCCTCATGGTTCCAAAAGACTTGGCCTGGGCCAAAGGAGGCTATGGTATTTTCTACAGGCTCGGACCAAGCCTCCTCTGTCTGTTACTATGCCTCTAGAACCCTTAGATTCTTGTCTGTGGAGCAATCACAGTATGCAGAAAGGAGAAAATCTTCCCTCTAGACAAGACAAATCATGCAAAATAAAATGTCATTCCAAGAAGCAGAGTTGTGGCTGGATCTTAAGAAGAGACACTCAACTCTGATGCCAAGGGCGGCTCTAACATTTGTCCAGGAGATTCCCCGAATCCCCCTGAACCCTTGCTTCTTGGTTCAGCAGCTCTAACCCAGAAACCTTTCGCAGAGGCTGCAGGGTCTGCAAAGTTTCAAACATCCTCCTGGCTGGTTCCTGTCTATTCCACGGGGTTAGCTAGGGTAGAGTTGAAAGCATACAAGTCAGGAGGCCTCCCACATACGACAGCGCTCTCTCTCAATGCCACTTTCCCACCGATTCCTCTACTTCCCCGGATTATTTCCGAGCACCTGTCCCTCAAATGTATTCTTCAAAGTTATAGTGCAACAGCATAAATAGGCACGGGGACGACACTGCCTCGGAAAGAAGAGCAATGCTCAAGTCTTCCTGCTGGCGGCAACAGCAGAGTAAAGGGACAGCCCAGGGTGTGTTAAAGGGATCTTGGTGTCAGGCAAGCAGGGAGCTGACACAGCAAGAAGACTGTCTGGTGGGAGAAACTGGATCAGCCAGGAATGTTCCTAAAACAGCCCCTAAGTGTGAGGAGCCATGAGAGACACTGAACTCTTCCTAAGAAGGTTATACACAGCGACACTTAAAACCTGCAGGCAAAGGATGGAGACAGACGAAGAAGCTGACGATTAAAACAGGGAACGGAGCTCCTTCAAGCAGGGTGGAATCCAGTGTTGAATGGTGTTCCTAGTAGAGATATTCCTCGGCTGGAGCAGAGGGAAGGGCGTGGAAGATCTGACTAAGTGGTAGCTGTAGGTGGAAGAGAAAGATGTCAGAGATGACGACCCCCTAACCCCATCCCCCGTTCCAAAACCTGTGGGCAGCAGGAAGGGGTGGTGTGGACACACACACACAGGGGGTGCACAGCTTGTGAGGGTGGGCATGTGGGAACTGAACTGTGTCACTGTGGCCTAGGAGCAGAGTCTCTTGTGCTGGGGATTCTTCCTGGGGCAGGTTCCTTTCCTGCCCCATGGTCCAACCCAGCTCTAATCTCCCCATCTGATGGTCAGCACAGCCAGAAGGGAGACAGAAGCCCAGGCTAGGATGTGGTCTTCCCAATGACAGCCTTAGAGAAGGAGCCTTGGAGAACACACGAACTCTTGAATAAAAAAAAAAAAAAGGGAGGGTGAGGAGAAGTGGTGCGTAGATACGGCAAGGAGATCAGAGGGCCTGAAACCCCAAGGGCCCACGCAGTCAAAGCAGAGCCAGTGCAGGGAGGAGTCATACTAGGAGCTTCCCGGAGAAGCTTTGAAGACTGGCAAAGCATCCTCAGTGGAGTGCTTCTGCGAACTTCCACAAAAACAGGCGGAGGTGGGGAGAAGGGGAGGGGTTTTTAAGAATGGGAAGTTTAGGCAGCAGTAGCGGCTGGCACGTGTGATCCCAGCATGCAAGCTTTCTGAGGCAGGCTCTCAGATAGGTCTGGGAGGGCCTTCAAGTCTGCATTTCTAACAAGCTATCGATGTCAGTGCTGCTGATCCAGGAGCCATACTACAAGGGGCAAGGTTTAGAGTCTGTCAAAGGGATGCGGAGGGTGATTGGAAGCTAATTCATTTCCAGAGCCCCGTTTTTGATAATTCTACCTGGGGTAAAAACTGAGATCTTGAGAAGTCTGGGTGGGACTGGCAGTATCCCTTCCTCCTCTTTCAAAAGTGACAGGTGATGAAAAATTGGACATAAAGAAGAGGCAGAAGAACTCTGGGGAGACAGACGACCCGAAAGTGTCCCTGGGATCCTTTCTCTGGGTCAGCACTAGGCCGGATATTAAGGGCTGACTCGGAGCATGCCCCATCCCACCCCGAGGGGGATGGAGATCTGAGCGTGCAAGCAACAGCAAGGGCAAGGCTGGCCCCCTATTCCCTCTCTATGCTGTTCTGAGGGAAACTTCTGGGATCCGATCCAAGGTTTGTTGACAGCCCGGAGGGCACACAGAAAAGGCTATGCCACAAGGTCAAAGGCCAGATGATTTCTGTGCAGAAATAAAATGGAATCAGAAAGAAAAGCTGGGGAGAAAGGAGGTGAGCTGGGTTCTTAACCCTAAGCTTGAGTCCCACGTGTCCAACTTGTCATCAGAAGTCAGGAGGTATCTGAAAGGCGCAGTTGGGAATGTAAACTTGAGTTTGGGTAATCCAAGGACAGGAATAAGGATAGGAGGTGCAGGACTAATGTAGCTCAGCTGGCCTGGGGTCCCGCCACCTACCACACACTGAGACCCTTGAGCAATAAGCCGCAGAGGTTAAACCGAGGTCAGTTCTCTGAGGGTGCTGAGAGGGCCAGTGAAAAGTCTGAAGGTACCAAATGGGCAGCAACTCTCAGACTCAAGCCTTGGCAGAGGAGAGGGCGGCGCATACTAGGGGAAGGAGACAGAATCAAAAAGATGCTGGAGCTTCGTCTGGTGGCGACCCTGAGGCCGTGGTGGTTCCCAAGAGCCGGTGTGATGAGCTGAACTGCTGAGACCAGGCTCCCACGCCGCGCAGCCCCCAGCCCTCTCTGTCTTCGCCTTCCCTGGCCCGTGCTAGCTTCCCCGCGCTCTCCCGCCGCCTCTCTCAGACCGTGGCCCCCAGCCCGGCTACCGACTCTCCAGGGTCCGCCCCGCCGCCGCGGCCCCAGCCCGGCCGCTCCTCCCCCGATGATGTCACGTCCCTGGCCGCCCCTCGGCCGGCCTCGCGCCCCGCCCCCGCCTCCCCTGGCCCCGAGTCCCCTGGGCCCACCCGCTTGCGACAGCCCTCCTCCTGCCGGTGCTCCCTCCCTTCGACTCCCGCTCCCCAGGGAGCGGCGGAGGCGGCGGGATGGCCAGGGCCCGCGGCCAGGCCCCGGGGAGCGGCGGGCGGCGGCGACCGCGGCGGGGAAGCCCGGGGACCGGGCCCCGGGGGGAGTCGGCCGGTCTGCTGCTGCTCCTGCTGCAGGTGCTGCCGCCCGGGGCAGCGGCAGGCTCGGGGCGCCGGGGCACTCGGGGGCCTGGCGGCGGCTGCGTCTGCTGGCCCGGCGCCGGCCCGACTCTACCCCGGGACGCGCGACTGCTGCTGTTGCTGCCGCCCCGGCCGCCACCGCCGCCGCCGCCGCCGAGCTCTACAGCCGCAGTCTCCCCCTCTCGGATGGTAATCAGCTCCCCGCGCGGGCGCCGCGGGCGGGCGGGGGGGAGGCCGGGGGGAAGGGCGGGCAGCTCGCGGGGCGCTCGCCCCCCCCCCCCCACCTCCGACGACCGCGGCGCTGGGCAGCCGCCAGAGCGCGCCTCTGGGGCGCCTCCGTGCGAGGGTGCGGGCTCCGCTCTCAGTCTGCTCACCGGCTCTCAGGCCGCGGGGGAATCCCTCCATCTCCCCGCCCCGCGCCCCGGGAGGGGAGGGGACAGCGTCGGCGCCCGGGGACCCGCTTTCACTGAGAGAGCACCCGAGAGGCGTGCGTGCACTGAGGCTCCGAACTCCGTGTAGCGCTGCGCTCCTGGAGGCTCCTGGTGCCGTCGGGTCGGGCTGAGCTGCGACGCCCACAGCCTCGGCGGGAAGCGATCCTTGGCAGTGGGGGGCGCCCACGAACTGCGGGTCCTTATGTTCCCCGCACAGGACACTCTGCCCCGCGGTGGGCTCCACCTGAAAGAGGAGCCGCTGCTGCCTTCCAGCCTGGGCTCCGTGCGCTCCTGGATGCAGAGCGCGGGCATCCTGGACTCCAGCACCGCGGCGCAGAGGTAAGAGCCCCACCCGACCTAGCACTCTGGTTGGACCGCTTCGTGTCGCCTTCTTCGAACATGCCTTAGCTACTGGAGCAAGGGATGGAGGGAATCTTAACACTTGACCGTCCCAATGAAGTCTTCTGTTCACCCTGAGTCTGACTGACTTTTTTTCCCTGAGAATATGAGGCGAGGTTGCTTACTAGTGTTCAGGGCTCTGAAGGAGGTGTCACATCCGCCTGCGCACCTTGAGCCTTGACCCAAGTTACTAGCCATCTAGAAATGTCTAGTCTCTTCTTCCTGGGCAGTCTCTACTGTTCCGCTTGTCAGTCCGCGGCTACCCGACAAGAAAGGCAAGAAACTCTGCCTCTTTGCTTTTTCTTGCTCCTCAGAGTTGGGGCATGGTGGTGTGTAGGACCAGAGATGTGGGTGGGGCTGAAGAGTGGCTAAGCAAGAGGGGCAGTTGATCTGCAGAATTGCTTGGGATTGAGAATGGGGCCTGGACTCCTCTGTCGGTGTGTGTGCGCGAGGGTAGATCCTGAGGGAGTCAGGAAGCTCTTGGGAATTAGCAGAATCCACTCTGGTTACTTTTCAAGGAGAGGCATAGGGATTTAGGGAGGAGACCTCAGTAAGGAATGGACTCCAGGATTTGCATGGAGACTTTGAAGGCTTGTTAACCCAGTCATGCAACAGCCGTTGGAGCTCGGTCTCTGTAACACTCCCTGGAATCATACAACATGAACTGGAGGCTATACATCGGATCGGGAGTTCATAGTGCCTGGCACTAGGTCGGGACTGTCCCTGCAGACAGCCAGGGCAGGGTGGGCACTGGGTCTCCGGGAAGTTTAAATAGCTGCTACCCATCCTCTGAAGGACCTCAACCTGAGGTTGTCAAAGCAAACCCGGGCTGGCACACCACTCTGATTCACATATCCAAACTTGTTCAGGTATCAGTTGGGGTGCACTGCACCCTCACCCAACAGTAGACTCAGAGTGTTTTGAGGACCAAGGGATGCAGTGTTTTTGCACAGCTGTCTCACAGCCTTCAGGGAGAGCACTGGGCTTCTTGTCGAGTGATCTCTCCAGGACAGGAAACGATATTGCCGGTGAGCCAGTAAGTTTTAAGAGTGATCTAACTAGAGATTATGGAAACAGAAATCACAGTTGTTTAACACGACTGCTGTGGGTATGATAATTTGTTTCCCTCCTATTTTTCCCCTTAATGTTGTCTTGTGCTAATGCTTCTAACTCTGTGTGCCTCCTTTTCCGTTGGGTTTGGTTTTTCTTGAAGTTGAGGTGGTTGTGGGAAGTTACAGCGTGGAGTGTATTAGAGTGGAGGTTCCTGTTTCTTCCAGACTCTGCTCTCTGCCTGCCCAGGGCCAGCAGGTTAGATGAGAGGGAAGCAGAAGATGATATTTTGAAGGTGGGTGATGGGGCAAGAAATCTGGGGATGAGACTTCTATCACCACCACCCGCTGCTCACCAACAGCGCGGTCTACACAGAGAAGGTTCTTGAGTGGTGCCTATTCTGGGTCCCCAAGGCCACATAACTGAAGCCCAAAGCCTTCTGAAGTTTGAACAGAATGTTCTTCAGGCCTGAGCTTGCTTCTCCCCATGTCTGGAAATCTCCATTCTAGGACATAGATTGAGGGTTGTAAGGCAATGTGTGTGATTCTCTTCCCAGTCCCAGAGGGGAAGCTAATTCTTGGTTCTCATTTCTCTCCACAGTGTTTGTTGTTTCTCCTGTATCTTCTCCCTCAGTCAGGCCTCTTTGCTCAGGTCTCCCCATCCCAAAACATAACCGGAAACATCTATCTCCCATCCTCCTCTTCATCTCCCTGCCTGGCTTCATTCTCCCGCAAGGTTGCTCTGTGGGGACGACCTGCGCCTCCCTCGCCTTCACCCACAACCAACTGAGTTCCAGAACTTTTGGATGCCTGGTCTCAATCCCATTGTCCCCAGATACCATTTTTTAACAATTAAGCTCCCGTGCCCCATTCTCCCTGGCTCGAAGGATAACTCAAGACTCCTGGTCCTGGCCTCTGACTCACCACTTCCTCCGAACTATCTTCCTCGCCCTACTCTCCAAAGCTTCATTTTCAGGGTACTTTGGGGTGGGGGTGGGGGGGTCTCACTGTGTAGCCCAGGCTGTCTTCCAACTCTGCCTTAGCCTCCCAGGTGCTGGAATTACTAGTACACAGCACCACACCAGACTTCAAAGCACTTTTCTCTGACCATGTTGCCCACTGCGTCACAGCACCTCTCTGTGTGTGCCCTGTGCCTGCCCACCCTGCCCAGACTGACATCAGCGCTAAGGATGCTCTCACTGGCACATCCCCATCTCCCTGATAGTTGGCGTTCAGGGCTCGTCACCGTCCACCCAGCTTTCGTTCTTAGCTTCTGCGTGATAATGGCCTGTGGTATTGGAGAGTGAGCAAGGCTGTGTGACCTGCTTTTCTCATAAAACTGTCCTCAAGCCCTTAGAATCCCACCCACTGAATAGATCCTCGGCGAGCCGTGAGGGCCCAGCTCCACCTGACTGTTTATGTCCTGCCTCCCTGCCCAGGACATAACATTAGGTTCCTAATGTTAACCTAATGATGCTTTCTAGAGGCCAGGCTCTGCTGGCCTCTGCCTATCCCTGCTTTGCTGGCCCTGCCAGCTGAGGCTTTCTTGTAGGGCAAAGATGGCAGCCCATCCGTCCTTCTTTCCACAGCACCCACAGGCTTAAGTAGTCCGCCTAGCTGGTCCAAAAACCTTCCCTATCAGGTGCTCTCTTCACCTCAGTATGTTCCAGCAATTGCCCTACATCCATCTGCTCCCCTCTGCAATTTTACAACTTAGACGCTCCCAAAATGCCAAGACTTTAAAGAAAGTAAGTGGATGAGGGGAAAAGGTCTGGAAGGCTCGCCAAGATCAGTGAGGGAGGCCCTGCTAACGTGAAGATTCTGAGCATGGGAGGTAGGGAAAGAAATGGAACCGAACACCCAGCTCACAGGAAGTGTGTGTGTGGGGGGGGAGGCTGTGGAGAAGGCTTCCTCTCCCTGCCCTGCAGGGGGCTCCCTAATAGGGACCTCTGCTCCAATACCCCTAGCTTTTACTAGGACTGCCCCTGACCTGACCAGTAGGAATTCCTCTCTGAGACCTAGCCCCAGGCCATTCCCCCATCCTCCTCTTCAGACAAGTCTGCCTGTCTGTGGGCTTAGGGCACACTTAGGGCAGCGCTTCCATCCTTCTGGTGTGTTTCCTGGACTGGGGAGTCTAGAGAGGCCAGGGCTACTCCTGCAGTAGTCCCAGAAACGCAGGACAGCCCGTTCTACCCGGCAGTCACTGCACAGGAGCAAGGCCTTAGAGAAGGGCAGCTGGGGATGTCTTTCCTGTAAGCAGCTGTAGGCTAGCCTCCCTGCTAGGAAATGCTTTTGTTTGCTTTAATAATTAATAGCTGCTCGTCATCCTGGAACCTGGCTGGCAGGCAGGCCTGTGGGTGGATGGTAAGAGGGAGAAGAAAACCCGGGGCGAGTAGTCAGTGGGACTGAGAGCGGCAGGGGAGCCCTAGGGCACATGTGAGACGTGCCCCCCCCCCCCCCCCCCGTAACCTCCAATCCTGCCTGCCTGCCATTTAGACATGGGTCACTAATAGAATTGTGCTGAGCAGTAGAAAGGGGGACCCCGAAGCCTCCACTGACCCAAAGCTCCTCTTCAGTGGATTCATCCACACACAGGTTCTGGGAAGCTGCCATTAGCCACCAGGCCTTCCCTCTGGGTACCACTGAGGTGGGTGTGCCCCTCTGTGTCATTGCTTTTATGTTTGATATGCATCATGGCTAGGTTCTGAGCCTATCAGGGCCTGGGCAGAGCTAGGCCAAGGGGTCTCGGCTGGAGGCAGGCACAGCATGATGGTCACTATCCGCCCTTGGGCACAGAGAATGCCTAAGAGGGAGCTTGGGCACCAGTGGGATGCTTAAAGGAAGGGAGACTGTGGAAGAAAGGAACGCGGAACTTGTGTAGGGAAGAGAAGACTGGACTGAGCAGAAGAACTTGAGGCAGACCGGAGACCAGCGATGAGATTGGGAGGCATACGTTTTTGTTTCTTCTGTTGATGGAGCTAGAGGGTGGTCAGCAGAGCTGCTTCTGATGCTGATGACTTCAGGCCCTATCCCCTTACCCAGCATCTCAAACTTGAGTATGACTCAGGCTCAAGCCAAAGTGCTACTGCTCAGAACCGTGGGCTCTCAGGTAGGCCAGACTTCACTTTTGGCAGGAAACCGGAAGGCAGAAGCCCCCAGGGGTGCCTTGTAAGGGATGCAGGCGGCTATTGTTAAATTGCTATTTATAGTAAACATCTGATCAGGCATGAGTGGTTTGTGAGTGGAGACAGAGACTGCAACGGGGGCTCTGTCTATTAGAGAGCTCTGGATGTCAGGAGAAGAGCCCTGGGCCATCTTGCTTAGCCTTGCAAGGGAACATCTCCAGGGACCTGCTGGGTGGGCTCAATCATAGCAACCAGATGCTTTGTTGCCTTGCTATGCCAGCTAGAGTCCCTGTGTGCTCTGGAGTGCTGCTCACCTTAGTGGCTCAGTCTATGAAGGTCACGTTGTCCTTGTTCATTTGACCTCAAAGTCCCAACTCAGTGCTCAGGAAATCTTTGCATACCAAAGCTTGCTGCGAGGCAGGACTTTTCGGTCCAAGATATCTGGGCAAACTAAGTTCTTTCTGCTGTCCCAGGAGGTTTCCTTTAATCCTGGGCCTGTGTGAGAATAGAAGATGGGACTTGGTGGGAAACCCTGGTGTGAAGGCTTCCAAGTCTGGGTTCTCTGGAATAGAAGTGAGTTCTCCATCACCTCCACATCCTGCAGAGCCGAGAGGACAGGGCTTTGACATTGTGTTTGCAACAGCCTTTCTGAGAAACTAAGGGGATGTGTTGTTTATATTTATTTTTGTTTGTCTGTTTTTTTTTTTTTTTGAGGCAGGGTTTCTCTGTAGCTTTGGAGCCTGTCCTGGAACTAGCTCTTGTAGGC